CTACCGGAGATCCCTGCAATACAGCCTCCGCGCGCTTTGGCGAACACTCGCTTTTGGCCGAATTTGCTACTTTGTTTGCTGGCGAGAAATACTGTGGTTGTCAGAGCAACAATGCTCTAGCTACTTGGGTAGTTCTCTTTCTGAGGGTCTCTCTTTGGGTCCGCCCAACAGAACGACAGCCTTAACAAAAGGACCCTAATTTAGAGAAGTACCCACATCTAGACCCAGGATCAGGACCCAGGAAACTGGCGGCAGCCTTCACCAAGGACTCCGGTGGACAAATCTCCTGAGCACAGCTCTGTCAACCTGGCTTGGGGCCTCGGGGTCTGGGACCTGTGCCGGTGTCCGTTCAAGCAAGAAACGAAACGGCGAGCTCTACAGGTCCCAGAGGTCCTGACGACGGTGAGGCTCTTTGGGCTCATGACTCTGTGTCCCAATGCACCGGAAAACTGCAGCCTTGCGATTCTGTTTGCTTGAACCCGTGTCCACGTCGCGTCGGCTTTTGGGCAGCCTAAGGTGCTTCAAGCTCCTATACTTTGTGTGCATCTTCGTCTTCACTGATTCACTACTCTGTTGCTGCTCCTCGTCGGCATCCTCTTCATCCTACTGCTGCTGCTACTAGTACTAGTACTAGTACTAGAACTATATCACTACTACTACTACTACTACTACTACTACTACTACTACCACTATGACTACTCCTGCTGCTGCTACTGCTGCTACAACTACAACCTTTGCTAAAACGGCTAATTACTACTAGCACCTGCCACCGGACCACCACCAGGACCAACCCCCGCACTGTAGCTAAAACTAGAACCACGCGGTCGACGCCCACTACTGCTTCTTATTCGACGCTTTCTTCTCCTGCCCCCTCTTCTGGAGCCTGTCTGCGAAACGAGATGTAAGACCGCGGAAGCAACAGGATCACGCTCCTCATCGATGCTATCTTCGCTAGCAGCATCATCCTCTGGCTTGCCATCAAAGGTCAGGTATGCCTGTCATGGCTCGCCAAGTTCGACGACTTGAAGACCAATCTTAGAAGATCTACAGGCTACAGGGTTTCGGGGTGTACGTCGATTTTCCCAGCCAACCTACTACTGGAGCGTTCAGATCGGCTGTCGGGAAGGTCCTCTCGTCCAGGTCATTGACGAGGGAATTGGACAACTTGCATGTTGTACATGCTTCACCTAGCTTTCACTACGGCAGGGCATGAGTCTGCAAAGTCTCCGTCTTTGCAACTACGGCCCCACCTGTCCCTGGTGGACGAAGAGCTTCTTGAACCTTAACGAACCGAGATGTAAGTGCCAACATCCAGGGGTCCAGGTCTGCGGTTCATGAAGCCGCGCTTGCAGCGTGCGTACAAGTGGGCACATGCTTCAGTTTCTCGTGTAGCTAACACGCGTAGTTAGGGGCATACACTGTTGCAACACTATGGCACCCTCTACTCTGCTTAGCCGTATCGCAAGAGGCCGACCCCTGTCCCACTTCTTTGTTGCATCAGCTTTGGGGCGTAGTCCTTTAAGAAATGAAATCACGCAAGTAGGCACATGCCGCATGCACACACACACACACACACGCGCGCGCGCGCCCGGACACACATGCACACATACATACCCGCATCCATCCATCCATGCACTGGCTTGCTGATATGTGCTGAGACATACACATACATTCACACACGCACACAGACACTGACACTCAATATCTACATCTTCACATACCGCTATACAGTTGCATGTGAGTATGTATGCAGAACAGAATGTACGCGCCCTAAAGTGACCTTGGTTGCAAGGTGCCGCATTTGCCTTACACCTGCAAGGACGCTTGGCAACGTTGGATGGGACATGGAGCCAGTCTCAAATCCGTGCTTGGAGTTTGCTCATGCGAGGACCGCAAAGCGGAAATTGGCGGAAATATCAGAGTTCTCGGATGTAAGGCATTAGGATCACCAGGCTTTTCCTACACCCGAACTGCAATCCAAAGTTGAACATCCTGAGCTTCGACCCTACTCGGTCCTTCTCTATAACAACTGGGTTTCAACATCAGGCCACTGACACTCTTGCAACTTATGCCCCAAATCTTCTCAACGCCTTAGAAAACCAACCCCTTGAGCCGTATTGCCTGTATAACCCAAAACTAAGGTCCCAGCTTGGCACCACCAGCCGTGGAAAGCTCCCGCAAAGAGAAGGACAGGCTCTGGGCAGCGACAGAGAGAGACAGAGAGAGAGAGGGAGCCGGACCGGCTTTCGAGGGCTAAAGAACTACCACTCGCCACCACTGCCTGCACTTCTGCATGTATTGCTTGTGTCAAGACAATCGCACCCTTACAGGTGCGATACTGAAGAAACAACACCGTGGTTGTCCATGTTACCAGTGTCCTACCATGTATGGTGACAAATCTGCTTCACTAAAGTTCTTGTGCCTGCCACGCAGTTTCAGACATGTGTGGGGATTCAGCAAATGATGGGGTTCTCCTTTCGCAGCTCTTGTGGCCCTTGCGATGACTGCAAGCCTTGCGCCCTGAGCAAGAAGGTCGTAGAAACAGAAAAAAAAAGGATATCCTTTGCGATCCCGGAGCCACGTCATAAAGCCGGAAAAAGAAAGGACATGCTGGGGCTTTCTGGGACATAATCATGGAAACGGTGCAAAGAATGTTTAAAGTAATTCCTGGAAGGTACGCCCTTTGTGGGCTCTGGGATGCGCGCATCGGTGGTCGGCTGCTGCGCCAGGGCGTCCGGAATCTGCCCAGCAAAAGCGAACAAAGAACCGGGCCGGACCGCAACAAACCCAAAAATGCCCATCACTTCTACTGTCAATTTAATGACCGTGATAGTTACTATGGTTGCTAATTTACCACGTGTTACTTCGTTGTGAATAGTTTATGATCACAAACTACTACCTATCACTCTCATGTATATATAGTCATAACCTTCAGCCCGTGCAAGCCCCACTAAGTTGACCACGTGGGCTCAATCTCTCACGAGCTGACACCAGAAACCCGGTATGCTGAGCGCGGCAAGAGGGCCTTCTGTTCCGGCTACAGTATCGTTTGATTTGTTCCACTTGGAGGTTCATGGG